GCTCTTGGTCTGTTGCCTGTGCAGCCTAAATAGTAGGAAGAACACTCATTAAAGGATGAACACGGAGGCAAAAGTCTAGCTAGCAAGAGCACGTCTGACTGGTGCAAACAAGGGGTTTTCCAACACTTGTGCAGGCCAAATGATGCAATTGCTTTGAAAACTTTTGCATTAACAGCATTGGATGCCATCTCACAATAAGATACTGAAGAAATTTTTTGTAACCCACCAGTAGAGGTTATCAATTTGGTAGTGTCTTCAATTAGATGAGTTGCATGAAAAAATCCTGTGCTCAAAAGACATCCTGGAATGTGCAACTTGTCAGTGTGTATGATTGAGGAAATCAGAAGGGAGATAGAAAAGGAAGTAATGAGTGAAAAGAAAACTTATCTGCAACAGATTTGAACATAAAGAATAAACACAGTAATATTTGGATTTGAGCTGAGAGTTTGCAAATCAAGATCTCAGTTTGAATACTAATTTTTTCTTTAGGGATGGTGAAAATCCAGCATTTCAAGTGTGCAAGCAAAGAAGGTCATATTTCAGTCTTAAGTTTTGAAAGGAGAATAGCTAAACTAAAACACTGTGTCTTGTGTGTGGGTATCTTGGATTTAATTAAGGAGATTAAAGAAATGTGGTCTTAAAGTGACTTGTGCATTATAAGCTTCTAAAACTGTGTTTTGGAGTAGACATGTGACTTGCTCACTATTTAGCTACAGTCTTTGAGCAAAACAAATTCTTGAATGAAGGTATTTGTGTCAAAGGAAATACCAACCTTTAATGAAGAACTTTGGAGTCATGGAGAGCCCTGAATATCAACATAGTAATTAACTTGCTAGTTTAAACTCTTACCTTGATTGTTCAGCAACCAAAAGAAGTTAAATAATGATAACCAGAGATATGAATGCAGATAGACCATGTGGTTGTTTTCACCTGGGTTTGGGAAGGACAAAGTAGGCTTTACAGATACGAAAGAGGATGATTCTGAGAACTTCCAAAGTAATATTTAAAGAAGTGATTTCTTGGCCTAGGAGAAACTGCAGCAAAGAATGCTTGTTGATTCTAATAAACTCTAATGAGTAATTGCTTCCATTACCTCTATGCAGTCTGTTTGGGAGGCAGCCTACTGGTTTATTTAACAAGTTTTATAGCTATCCTAAGCATAGTATCAAAACATCAAGTGATGCATATAAGACTTAGGATGGCATACTTCAGAATCTTTTCAGTTGACTTCAATAAACTGTCTTCAGTATGCATACTCTGTTTTAATCTGTTCTGTAAACAGAGAAGGTGAACAATAAGAGCTTCTGATACCTTTAAGTGCTCTTTGACAGTAACTTGGATGTGTGATTGTCTTCCTTTTAAATTATTTTAAAACGTGTTGCTTCAGTAAGACTTGGGATTTCTTGCATGGAAATGCTTGAGGTAGTGTCAAATCTGAGTTTCTGTGGTTAACGCAAGTTGCCTGCCAGTAGGCAGTAGAACATCTTCACTAAACAAAATTTATGACTTTCTTAGTTGCTTTGATTCATTTTACTGGAAGTGCTATTTTCATTTATTTTTTTTCTCTTCAGCTAAGAGGAGATGGACATCATCAGATAATAACCTTAAAAGAATAGGAGGGGAAATACTGTCGGCAAGGAACTTAAGACCCTGAACAGTTATGAAAACATTTAGTGACAAATAAAAGTGGGCCAGAACCTTGAGGTTTCTGAAGTATGAGAATAGAATCTGTGTGATTCTTGTCTACTCTTATTTGTCTTTTAGTACTGAGAATTAAACTGGTGTGCACATGATCATCAGTGGATCATTACTACTTTAGGGAACCATGTAAGAAATGACTTAAAGTTAAGTTCATATGATAAAGACCTCTTCCTTTATCTGTAGTTTTGTCTGAAAAAGTTTTGCATGACACTACAGTGTTTTCAAACCTCAGTGGTATCTAAAAGCTGCTTTCAGAATTTGGCTTTTGGCAATTAATGAAAGTTACAATTGCTTGAAATATGAAACTATGTGTAATATCCTCCTCGTGATGAAGTAACTGAAGTCTGGTTTTCCTTCATGAGTTGTTACTTTGTTGGGAGCAGAGAGTCCCGTGCACTCTAACTTTTCTTTCATGTTCTGCTCAGACCCAGCATTCAAACACTATCAAGACTATTTAGATGAGAAACACTTAGTTTCTCATGTTTTAACAGTTTTCCATTAAAAGGCTCAAAACTTCCAGTGCAACTGTATGCCTTGTTCCATATAAGGTTATTAGATATATTCCTAAAATCATGGATTAACTGTCAGGTTTTGGGTGACTTGTTTATAATGATGAACCTTGTTACAATTGAAGAGAGCCTGCTGGTTTCCCTGGGACTCAGTATTCTCAGTCATGAAAACATGGAGCGTGTCCAAAGTAAATGCATGCAGACTCTTGCTGTAAGATGGTTGTTTGCAATTGAAGTGAGTGACAATCTACAGTGAAAGTTGAATATTGTGTTTGATAATGCACGTGGAAGTACAAAGAGAAGTTTTGTGCTGGATTGTACTGAGCAGTGTATTGCTGAGTCTGGAAAAGAAGAAAAAGCCTTGTATGTGAAATCTCTAGAACAATTTTAATAGCAGAACTGGATTAGTATAGGTGAGTTGGTCTTGCATTTGGAGTTAGAATGTGTCAAAAGACAAAATAAATGTAAAATTGAGGGCGATGTTCTGTTGGCTCTTTTCATGGAACAGGTAAATGAAGAACAAAATATAACTGATGAATGTTCTGTGGCTGGAGCTCTATTTGAAGTATCTTCCTGAAAGCCTTTAAATCTTGAGAGCAGCAGCAACAAAACTTCACTGCTGAAAATATCTGTGCAATCAATATAAGAAATGACACAGTGTTCTATGTGCACAAATGAGCTGTTAGAAGTACTAGTAGTAAAAAAAAAAAAGGGGAGTTCCTTTTCACTACTCCAAAGGAGTGATGGCTGGTTGAGTACCAACATGTAATATGTATTTTCCTAAAGTGCCATGGTCATCTTTATGTAACTAATACCTCTGATTATTAGAAGTAGACTTAACAAAAAGAAAAATCCTGACAAAACAACAAAAAATCTTAACCCAATTTAAATGGAGACAAAACAGCTTGTTTGCTACCAAGTAGAATGACTTTTTTTTTTTTTTTTAATGCTGCTGGAAGTCTAAGCAGCTTTCATATAACTTCAGGTGCTTTTCTGTCTCAGTAGTTTGTTACAGTTAATACTGCTGATCATTCTGTTGGTCTTCAGTACAGAGTAAGATTCAGTGCAGACTAGAAATCATGAATGGGTAATTTCTGAACAAAATTATTTTCTTACATTAATGGCAGTACAGGTATGTATATTCTGAAATACATTAGTTTATATTTTGAGATTTCAGAAATAAAGTGTGAGCTTTATATATAAGGTAAAAATTGTTATCTTTCACTTTCTAATATTTTACTTCATGCTTAGATGTAATGACAAGTTGAGAAAGATTTGAAGAAAAGTTTCAATTAAGTGTTTGCATAGGCACTTCAGAAAGGGCAGCATTCTGGGTGCTGCATGTTGGTTACAAAGGTGTGGAAAGAGTAGAGAGAACATTCTTTCATTACTTGTAGATTAAAAGTACTGAATATTCTCTTCTTGAGAGTTGTTTTATTGCCGTTTTGAGATTTCTGACTACTTTTTCCCTTTACCATCCTTTCCCAGTGACTGACCTATCAACTGTCTTGATTTCTAGATATGTTTTAGTTTAATTTATTTGTGCTACTCAGTGTTTTCATAGAATTCCTGACTAATGTCAGTAGTATACCGAAAGAAGTCTTTATCTGAATCTTTTAATTACTTGTTTAAATTACTTCGTTGACTTAGCTATGACTTGAGCACTGAGAAATTGTTGGGAAATAGAATCCTTCCAAGGATGGATTCGCGTATAGGTGTATAGATGGTTTGGTTTTTTTTTTTTTTCCAGAAACAGGATTTCTATTTTATAAAGGCTTATTGACCAAAATGGTGGTTATTGTATCCATTTGAATGACTTCTTTGCATGTGAAAACTGGGCTATTAAAAGTTGAGCTGTTACTGAGAAAGTTAATCAAGGTATAGTCCAGGTTTGACAAGAAAAATTGAAAAATGCCGAGTAGTTAAAATAGTGCCTTTAGAACTTGATTCAGTAAAAATAAACTGTGAACTAAGACTTTGCGGCTTCGTTTCATTAGTTCACTTGAAGAATGGATGACTGAAGTTGCTGGAGCATCTGTTTAGCAAAAGAAGTTGAACCTGTGGTTTAATGTACTTTGCGTGGTTAGAAACTACGTTGTCTGGTGGGTTTCTTTCATGAAAGGAGGTGATGTGTGACTGAGCTTGAAGTGCTGTTGCTACTTTTGAAAGTACTGAAGGCCTTAAACAGAAATCAAATCTGCTATGAAGACATAGCACCACAGTGTAGGACAAAAATTGCATTTGTATGATGATGCTTATCTTCATTAGGATCTAGGATCTGTAGGCATCATAGGTGATAAAAGTCTTAAGTTATGCCTTTCTTGTTAGGAGGTCTTCATTAGCATTATCTCAAGAAAGCAGAAGTAACTGAAGTATTTAAATTTTTACCTTTTTGCTCTAGATCAGTAATCAAGCTGCAAAAATACCATGTTGGAATATTTTCCAGTAACCATGAATGTATATCGTGCTTATAACTAGTTAACTTCCTGGAAAATCAGTATACTAGTTACGTGATCTTCATGTTGCTTGATATAGTGCTGATGTTGACATCTGTGTTCTCAGGTATGACTGATCTGTATCCACCTTGGTTTTCTCCTAAGGCAAGCTTTTGTAAGTTCAAGCTGTGTTTCCACATGGCTGTGGATCAGGTAAAAGAATATGGTTTTTCAGAGGAAAGTAGGAGTTCTCTTCGTAAAAGGTAAGCTAAATGATGAAGAGTTAATGTGAAGACCTTCTTATGTACCAACTAATACTTCTGTGGTGGTGTTTTTTTTTGTTTTTTTTTTTTAGGTGCCTTAGCTGGACCAGTTGTTGATCCACATGTGACAGCAGTTTGGGGGAAGAAGGTTGCACTGAAATGCATAATTGATATAAATGAAACAATAACACAAGTTTCCTGGGAGAAGATCCATGGTAAAATCTCAGAGACTATTGCTGTTCATCATCCTGAATATGGAATTTCTATTCAAGAAAAATACCAAGGAAGAGTGTCATTTAAAAACTACTCACTTACTGATGCAACAATCATCCTAAAAAATGTAAGCTTTTCTGATGCAGGAGAATATATCTGTAAGGCAGTTACATTCCCTCTTGGAAATTCACAGTCGTCAATAACTGTAACAGTATTAGGTAAGTAAACTTAAGGAAAAGAATTGAAATTAGTAGCATCAACTTATTAATATATTGCTTTTTTTGGACAATGATTTTTAGAATTTAGACTTGGAGACAATACTGATTTTAGGGATCTGTGTGTGTGCTTGCTGAAAAGCTGTTGAAGACAGTGTTAGTCTTCATTACCTTCTAAGTTTGCTGTTAGTATGGTAAGTTAATGACATTGGTTGGGTTTGTAATATAAACTGTTAATTAATAATATAAATAAAAAAAGTCTACACCTTGCAAGTGTAAAGTAGAATTATTCAGACTATTTCTGGGAATTCAAGCCCTTGTATAGTCATGTAGTTATCTGATGTGAAACTTATATGAAACTTGAACTTAAAAAGTAATTTCATCTACCTCACTGAGAATTGTGTTGTTGTGCTTGTGTTCCGTTGGATGGACCAGTACTGAATACCAGGTTAATTTAGATAGCTGTGCAATATGAAGTAAAACAATTACTTTGGCCTAATGACTTAACTGTTTGTCATAACTTTTATCTTCTAACAGTCAAGTTATTTATATATCCCTTGCAGGTAGTAAAGTGCTGTTTTGTTCAGCAGAGCTGACCTTCAGTGTCTCTTTCTGTACATAAGTTTTGATTTTTAGGATATTCTTGGTTTCTGGTGTCTTCCAAAATAGTAGAATGCCCTATGAAATAAATCAGATGGATCTAACATAGTATGTGAACTGACTTCCACCACAAGGTGGGGCAAAATAGATGCATCAAAGCAACTGATTTAATCCAATTTAATATCATTAACTTCTTTAAGGAAGCTTTGTTTGATACAAAACACGTAGTCTTCTGATTCTTTCCTGCCTCTATTTCACCTGTTACTATTTTTGTCTGTGACAAGCAGTTACGTCCATGGTTACTAAAGCAGTCTCTCAGCTTTTGGGTTCATTTCTATCACTAAACACTGGGAGGTTCTCATTGCTATCCCTCATCTCTTCTGTTTAGTCTTAGTCTGATTTTTTGATTTTTTTTTTTTTTTTTTTTTTTTGCACCTTACTAGTAGCTATTTATTTTTGCCCCATTGGATCTTGTTGTTTGAAGCACGAAGAGTCCCTGCAACTTGGAAAGCAAATCCATGGTTTGTGTGCTCATTGTTCTACATCTGAAAATGTAGGACTGCAGTGTGCTTAATAAGTTGTATACAACAACGTTTGTTAGAATAGATGAAGTATAGTATGTCAGGTGTAGTGCTCTTGGTCATGGCTTTTTTCTTAATGATGTAGATAGCTACTGGGAGTTATAAGCCTGTCAGTGGCGTGGTGTCAACCTCTGAACTTCAGAACTTCAACCAATTCTTTCCAAGTTAGTAACAAACATGCATATTTGAATAGTAAATGTTCAGCAAAATACAAGCTGAATGGAAGTGGGATAGGGGTATTAGGAGGATTAAAAAAACATATAGGTCAAGCCTCTCCTGACGGAAGTGAATCTAAATATTTTTCTTCCTTTAATTTGCAGTCTTAACTGCTTGCTTTTCCATCCTGGTTAGCAGGTGCTTAGCTTATACATAGAGCTGGGTAAACTGGGATTGACTGCCTCAATGTTTTCTGTTCTTCTGACAGTTTTTTGCTACAGAGTTATCTAGAGTTAATCTAGAGTTAAGTAGTAAAAGCAATAGGGGAGTGGTGTTTTGTAGTGGTCTTTGGGGTTTCAGTAGCTTGAATTCAACAACAGAAGCTCAGGTCTGTTTTAAGACATAGAATAGCTCCAATCAGAACTTAAAGCTGATTAAGTCACATCAGGATTTTATTTTGACTGTTTTCCTGCTGTTCTAAAAAACTGTCCCATGAGTAATGAAAGTCCAGCTGAGGTTGAAACTGGTTATTTCCAGTAGAAACATCACCTTTTTACCTCCTGGTTCCTATTTAGTAAGGAATTGATTTGCTTACTGTATATAGCAGGCACATTAATCTAGTAATAGGTGCTATTAAAATGTAAAACAGAGGGACTGAGGAAAAAAATAATTACAAGGTAATGTTGTATTTTGCCACAATATATTGGTTACTTAAGATAGAGGTTCTAAACACCAACTTATATTCTTACTGCATTTACATCTGTTAAGCTTGACTTTGCTTAGTCTATTTGCTTAGCTTAGTACTTTGTTGCTTTAAGGAAATGCACTGTAAGAGGAGAGGTAAGATGAAGAAATGTAAATGCTTTTCAGGTCACAGAGGCTAATTAATCTATCTAAAACTATAGTTCTTAAAGCTCATCTCCTATTAGCTAGAGCAAAAAAGAAATTTGTATGTCAGACTGTGTGTTCTGTGCTTTCCATTTCTCAAGATAGTTACTAAACTGGCCAAAATGGTCTTTGAAGAAAGAAGAGATGGTGTGTAGCAGAGGTACTTCTGTTGCTAGCTAATTGAATACTACATATGGTGATTTAAATAATTGGTTTGGTTTTTATCCCACTGTATTGCAAAGCTAGAGTTCAGAATTGCAAAAAGCAAAGGCAAGAACCGAGAGAAGGAAGAGCTGCCTCTGTAAGTGAAGTTCAGGTTTTAGACTATCTAAAGAACCTGAAGGTGTACAAGTCCATGGGATCTATTCATGGGTTCTGAAGGAAATGATGAAGTTGCAAAGCTGCTATCCATCATCTGGAAGGTCATGGCAGTCTGAAGTTCCCACTGACTGGAAAAGGGGAAACATTACCTCCGTTTTTGAGAAAGGAAGAAAGATCCAGGGAATTACAGGCCAGTCAGTCTCACCTCTGTGCCTGGCAAGATTGTGAAGCAGATCCTCCTGAAAGTTCTACGTAAGACACATGGAAAATTAAGATGAGGTGATTGGTAACCATTACGGCTTCACCAAGAGCAAATTGTGCTTGTGGAACTGAGTGCCTTTTAAAATGGAGTTACAGCATCAGTGAATATAGGGAGAACAACAGAAACCATCTACTTGCACTTATGCAAAGCATTTGCACTGTCCTGCATGACATCCTGGATAGGGAATGGGCTGCATGGTCACACTCAAAGCTGTGGTCAATTGATCGGTATCCAAATGGAGGTGAAAAATGGCATTTCTCAGGGATCAGTGCTGGGATTGGTATTAAATAACACCTTTGTAGGCAGTGTAGACAGTGGGATCAAGTGCACCGTCAGCAGGCTTGCAGATAAGACCAAGCTGAGTGATGCAATTGACATCCTGGAAGAAAGGGATGCCATCCAGAGGGACCTGGACATGCTTGAGAGGTGAAGTTATGAAGTTCAACAAGGCCAGATGCAAGATCCTGCACCTGAGTTGGAGCAAGCCCAAGCACACATACAGATTGGGTAGAGAATGGCACAAGAGCAGCCCTGAGAAGAATTTGGGAGGTGTCTGATGAAAGGTTCAACAGGAGCCAACTGTGTGCTCCCAGCCTAAAAGACCAACGCTATCCTGGGTTGCATCAAGAGAAGTGTGATCAGCAGGTCAAGGGAGGTGATCCTGCCTCTCTACTCTGCTTTCATGAGACTTCACTTGGATTATTGCATCCAGTTTTGGAGCCCCCAGGAGCCCTCGTTACAGGAAGAACATGGATTTGTTGGAATGGAACCAGAGGAGGGCTATGAGGATGTTCAAAGGTTTGGATCACATCCCCTATGAGGACAGGATGAGAGAGCAGGGACTCTTCAGCCTATATAGGAGAAGATCATAGGGGGACCATATAGTGGTCTTTCTGTACCAGAAGAGAGCATACAGTTATAGAAATATTTCTTTCAAAAAAAGCAAATAATTCAACTTCCTTGTAAATCCAAAAAACCTTGTACACTTTCTCTCTAGACACTGTTATGCTGTCTTTTTGTAAAGTGTGAGAGTTTGGTTAATGGTATCTGATGGTTCGTGTATGTAACACAAAGCTATAGTAGGTAGGCTTAAATTACGTAGCAATTATGAGAGAAGGATTGACATGGATGTGCAAATGAGTTGAGCATTCCTAAATAGGTGCAAGTTTAGTTTAAATATGACAGTGGCTTATAACTGAAATGTAATCAAGATTGTGCAATGGCTTCCAATATCTGTGACCACTCTTCTTCAACACAAGCAAGGTAGCCCATGCCCTCTATCAATCAGTGTCTCTAACCTCCTTGATTATTTAACTGGGCTAATGGGGAGCTGCCACTTCCCTTTCACTCTTATACTTTGGAAACAAGTCCATTCTGCATTTGAATCTTTGTAGAAATGATTTTTTTTTTTTTCCCCAGGTAAATATTGCCTCCACCATATTTTCTATTTCACTTGAGCAGAGCATGATCATAGAATCAAGTATAATGGAGCATAATATTTCTAATAATGGTTAAAGCAACTTCTCTAATATTCTCTTAGATTTTTCTGTGCCACATTTGCTTTTGGTCATCTCTTTTCTAAGTTTCCCAATGTGAAAAGCATGACTGGGAGATGGCAGTAGACCCTTGTAATTAAGGATTCATTCAGAAGATAATTTTCTTAAGCTATAGGTAAAACAACCTGAAAGGCTACAGAATGAGTAGCTGGGTTTCTACTGTTAATTGGCTTCAGTTGCTGGAGTGGGGTAATTGTGAAAGATAACCAAATGAGCAGCTAACTCCTTTTTATCTCTTAGTTGATATGTAGTTCAAAAGCCATGATTTATGGAAAATGTAACTAAACACGTTAAAAGTATGCAACAATAAAGCACCAAAGCACTTGGGACTAGAAAGAGCTATATTTTATCAAGATGAGTTACTTATCAGTTTAATTTTTTCTTTCTGGTGAGTGAAGGTTTATTTGGTATGATAGAATTACTCTATCAGCTGAGGCTGTTCAATCTTAAAAATATCAGATGTCACCTGAGAAAGGAAGCTTACCATTTGAAGGAAAGTTAATATTAGGAGAAACTAAGCTTTTAAAATCCTATATCCTCTGGCACTTAATATTCAAAGACAATTTATTTTAATGAGCTTACTAAGTGAAGCATCATACTGAGTAATCTGTTCTGGGTTTAGAGATACACTGTTAGACATGTGAACTAATAACTATTCCTTCATAAACAGTGGGGAAAAAAATTTTTGAAGGAGTTTTACCTTCAAGAAAAGTTCAAAGAGATGAAATAGGTGAACATTTTTGTTGCACCTGAAAGTTTTAGTGAAGAAACCTAATACTAATGGTGAAGCTTTTTGATTTTGGTGTGATGGGGAGGATGAGAGGGGCTTGGAGGAAAGTACATTAAAGAAAGCTTCAGTTCTCATTAGTGTTAGAGAGTAGGGCATTAAACTGAAAGAGGAGCTCTATTACAGATGTTGCAAATCTAGAAACACTGAATGTAGAATTTGGTAGAAGAACTGTTGCTGTTGGTTTATTTACAGTAGGGTCATTTACATAGCACAGCAGGAAAGGCTGTCAGATAAATGATGCAGAAAGCAATTCAGTCTTGATGGTTTTCCTGAAACAACAGCCAGCCTTCAGTTTGAGGTATGTTCTTCAAGCACTTGTTATATCCTGAGCATAGAAAAGAGAACAGATTTTTTATAAGGTTATCCATTTAGTTGTGATCTTTCATTTAAACATAACTGGACAAATATCATACTTTTTCAGTGATGGATAAGTGGTATAGACTGACCAGAAATCAGCCAAACTGATTCTAGAATCCACTCACACAAAAAGAAGTTGTTATTGTTATCTCTTTCAAGGTATTGTGATCTTGAGAGTATCTTGCCAGCTCTTGTGAAGTGTGCTTTATTACATTTTAATGTGTGCTAGCTTCAGGTTTTTTGGAAGAAATGCTGTGAACTAAATCTCTTCTTATGGGGTATTGAAAAGTGTGTAAGTGGAAAGAATTGCCATTGCTTTGTAATTGAGGACTGATCCATTGAGATGGATTCTGAAGTGTAGTGATGCCTTTACTTTGGAGAGCTCATCTTAACTGAATCAATGCACAAGGATTTTGTAATAGGGTACTGTACTACTGAGAATCCCAGATGTCCCAGTATTAGAAAGGGAAATGAACCATCCTAAAACACAAAGCCTTAGTTCATATCAGAAGCAGAAGATGGTCTGGGGACTTAAGTCGTAACTGGTGTCTATTCCAGCTTAACAAGATTATACTAGTAAAACAGGAAGAAGTACTTAAAGGCTTTACAGCCTGTGGCAGACCTGTGGATCAGTAACATAGCTTCATTTTTAGAGACAAGTTTGCTGTCTAAGTCCTAAACCTGTGGCAAAGCAATGGATTTACAAGGATGTCACGTTCTTTTGGTTGAGCTTCTTGAGTCTTGAACAAAGTATTGAGGTCAAGTTTTTAACGTCTATAGCTGATAACATCTGTATATACACTTTTAATTTTATATATAAAAATTCTGTAAATTATATGCATGAATAATTTAATGCAAAGTTTTTACTGTGTGTATGTCTACATTTTAAATCTTTAAAAAGGCAATTCTTGATTGTTCTTACTTTTAGCCTGGAATTTGTTGTTGCACTTAAGAATTGTAAGAAACTTAAAATTTTAATATCTGGTGTTAGAACACTGAATAAAGTAGTGCTGAAATGACCAAAACTGTCAGTGTAGATTAATACTTTAAATACCGTACTGTACTTTGCAGTACAATTCAGGCTTTCTTTAATATAGGAGGTATTTTCAATCTAATACATAAAAATCTATTTGTTGTCAGACATTGGAATTGAAGCACTGTGGTTTGTGCTTTGAGCCTAACAACTCTGGAGTTCTCTGTCAGAGCTTTAAAAGTAAGGAATGAGCAGCATTAAACTTCAAGTCATGAGCAAATGCAATATTGGTGGGCCAAAGCACTGCAGAGTTCTTATCCTTGATAATCATTTGATCTTATTTATATATTGCCTGTTCAGTGTGAGCTCTGTAAAATGAGTTAGATGAGTGTTGCTATGTGAGAGAGTTAGGTAAAAGTTCTGAACTCTTTCTGGCTTAAATTTACCTTTTTTCTCCCCCGTAGTTGAACCTTTTGTCAGCTTAACAAAAGGACCAAACCCTCTGATTGATGGTGCAAATCAAACAATAGCAGCCATTTGTACAGCAGCCACTGGAAAACCTGCTGCGGAGATTGACTGGGAAGGAGGTCTTGGTGAAATGGAATCCAGCTCCACCTTGTTTCCAAATGAAACAGTGACAGTCATAAGTCAGTATAATATTGTCCCTACACGATTTGCAAGAGGAAGACGAATAACTTGTATTGTGAGGCACCCAGCTTTGGAAAAGGAGATAAGATTCTCTCATGTGTTGGATATACAGTGTAAGTATTTTTAAGTAGCTGTTGCTACTTGATGAATTTACTATAACTAGTGTCTTTATCTGTGTTTAGGTTTGATAGGGACATGTTGAACATCTAATTCTTCAGAAAATTGCTTAGAAAAGCATGTAATAAGGGATCAGCCAGGAATATAAGTCTAGGGTTTCTGTTGTAATTAGAAAAGAAAAAAAAGTCTAGTAACAAAGCTTAAAATAGCATTATGGTTGTTTGAGATTGTGGCTCATGGGTGAACTTAGTATTCATGGTGGTAGTCAATAAAGAAAAACTTACAGATGAAGTTTGGTCTATAAACACCTCACGGTATCCTATGATTTCAGCAGTATTATAGAAATCAAATAACACTTTATGGTTGTAATGACGAGTTTAAAGTATGACTTAAGGGAGGAGGGCATTCAGTAAGTTTAAAATTGTACATAAAGCTTTTTCCTTTCTAATTTGCACAAGAAAACAAGATTGTAATATATTCAGTACCAGTACTTGTTACTCAGCTTTAAATTGTTCAGGTACTGGGTTTGTCTAACTGATTTGTTTTAAATTGTCTTTAGAAGATATGAATATGAAGCAAGTTGGGTTACGACTCTGCTTAGATTAAAACTGCTGAAGAAAATAAGCCTTATGTGTGTGATCTGTTTTTTGTTTTTTGTTTTTTTTTTGTTAAGCAATTTTGTTAAACAGCAAAATAAGCTGTTTTTAATTCTTTCTTTGATATTGTTCTGACTTAAGGACTTCAAAACAGCATACAGCTGAAGGCTGACAGTTTAGTGGGAAGACATCTCATGACTGGAAAACATGAACTTAGTTACATCGGTGTGTAACTAAAGTCTCTTACGCATTTGTTCTATTTGGCAAAGTTTTGTTCAGTTTGTGTAAGGATACTGCTTTGAACTGAGGTAGCCTTTGCTGCTGCACCTCATTCCCCTCTTTCTGAAAGTAATGTTTACTATTTGGGACTTGAGACTTGAAACAACTTTCTTGCATTGGTAGTTTAGGACTTGATAGATAAAGGCTTTGAACTTGTAAAGGATGAACGTTTGCATATTGTCTTGTGTGCACAAATGTCTTCTCTTTCTAAGCAGAAATGAGCAATTGCTCATTTGGACATACAGATCAGTTCTAATCACTGTTTTATTATCAGTGTTGAAATGATGTCTCAGATTTAAGTGAGACCAAAAAAGCAGAAGCAAGGACTACTTGTCTTGACAATGAATGAGATTGAGGCTCCGTATTTAAGAGAAGAATGGACCTTAATAGCTGAAAGTTACTGCTAGCATGTAATTCAGAATCTGCAATGCCACTGCATATAAGCAGCTTAAGAGCAAACGAGAATCGGAGATTCTGTGTGTTGTAGTCTTCCCTTCCACTTGCGGCTTTTAGAAATATTGCTATGCCTTTGCTGTAGGAGCTGTTACAAACTCGTAACGATGGCTCTTTTTTTGCTGTTTTTTTTTTTTTTTTTAACAATTCCTCAGGGTCTCTCTCACTTGTCTGAAGTGGTCCGCTTGCTTTTTTAGTTGCAAAACAACATAGTTGCACGTTACAATGGCAGCGGATAATGGTTAACCTTTTCAACTGGCAGGTGTGAACTTCTTGGTTTCCTAATTACCTTGCTTTTCAAAACACTGCTTCTGATTATTTGCTGTATCTTACTAGTGAGAAGTAGATTTGAATTAGCAAGGAATATGAAAGGAACGCAAAATTGATTCTTTCCTTTAGAATTTCTTCTAGTTAAGTGCTGTTGTTTTTTTTTTTTTTTTTTTGTTAAGAAAACAAAACAAAAATGAGTGGAACAGCTGCACCAGTTAAAACAAATGTATTATGCCCTTTCTAATTTACTGTTATGTATTGTGCTTATGTTTAGGACTGTATTTTATTTTTTTCTGGTGGTTGTGGCTCTTAAAAATCAAAACTAAAACAGCAAAAATGAAAACCTTTTGCATCAAGTTGATCATTACTCTCAGTTTGTGTTGAAAGAAAATGTTGTGGTTACTGATAGGTAAACTATTTTTTGGCAGATGCCCCAGAAGTTTCAGTAACTGGATATGATGGAAACTGGTTCATTGGAAGAGAAAATGTTCAGCTCAGATGTAACGCTGATGCAAATCCATTACCTATGGAATTCATGTGGACCAGGTAAATATTTACAAAAGAAGGACTTGTGACATGATTATGGTGGTATAATCTGAAGTGGTATTGTAAACTAAACAGACTATGTAACTTGTATTGGGTAGGATGTAATGGTGTTAACCAGCCTTCTAAAAATAGGGTAGAGGATTTGTGTGTTGGAGAAGGTCCAGAGGAGGGCCGCAAAGATGATCAGAGGGCTGGAGCACCTCCCCTACAAAGACAGGCTGAAGGAGCTGGGCTTGTTCAGCCTAGAGAAAAGAAGGCTGAAGGATGACCTCATTGCAGCCTTTCAGTACCTAAAGGGAGCCTATAAACAGGAGGGGAGTCAACTCTTTGAAAGGGTAGATAATGGCAGAACAAGGGGAAATGGTTTTAAGTTGAAGGAGGGATGATCTGGGTTGGATGTCTTCTGGTGGAAGAACTTCTAGGGGAAGCTCTTTATTGTGAGAGTGGTGAGGTGCTGGAACAGGCTGCCCAGAGAGGTTGTGGATGCCCTGTCCCTAGAGGTGTTCAAGGCTAAGTTGGATGGGGCCCAGGGCAGCCTGGTCTAGTACTAAATAGGGAAGTTGGTGGCCCTGCATGTGGCAGGGGAGTTGGAGATTCATGATCAAAGTTGACTTGAGGTCCCTTCCAACTCTGGCCATTTTGTGATTCTGTGAATATGGATGGGTATATATTTTTGAAGTTCATGAGCCTGGACAATTTATAGTTACAATTACAATAAAATCTTTGGTAGTTAAATTAGCATAGCCTGTATGTTGTTTTGTATTGGGCAGTTTGATACATCTAGTAGGGAATCGACCATTTGATTAGCTCCATTTTAATATTACATGAAGTAGATTCTAGATATGTGAAAAGACTTATCAATACCTGCATTTTAAAATCTGTAAACTACAGTTGAGAAGGCAAGTACTTCTTACTGAATTGTGGAGCTTGTCATGTTTTTCAAGAGTGTTTAAGTAATTGTCAAGACTGATAAATGCAATATTCAGCTTAATGGAAGCTAAGCTTTGAATGTATATCTCTAGTTTAAATAAATAAAACTTAATGTAGATGGGTGTTCTGAAATAATAGCTTAATTTAATGAGTAAGTGGATGGGGTGACCCTACTCTGAAATTTACTGTGTAGCTTTTGCAGCCGTGGTTGTATATCAGGCAAGAAACAGAAAAAGATGATAGAAGTAAACATAGATCAAAATTGGCACTGGATGGAGATGGATAAATGAAATAAAGCTACTTGAAATTCGTTTGATGCTTGCAGAAATCAAAGAAAGAACTTCTGTGAGGACAATATGAATTCATATGCAGCAGTGTTAAAGTGTTTCTGTTGGTAAAATCATTGGAATATTTACTGTTCTTCAGTTGTAATCCTTTTCCCTGCATTCCCAGTGGCAGTTAAAAATTAGCATATAAAAATGATAATCATTGTAGTGTTGAGAAAAAGCGGAAATGATAAGTTGGCAATAACTGAGTGCTGGTTTGATGGGAAAACTAAGCATTACAGTCATGTAACAGACTTGATCGTAAACATATGCATAGGCGTATAGAGTCAGTATTGAAGAATGGTGTTGTACTGAAGAATTTGATTACACTGAAATGTTTTATCTATATGCTTAAATTTAGTATGATGAGAGATTTCAACATAAAAAAAACTGTTTAAAGTTGTATGCCAGGACTTCGAAAGCACTACTGCCTTTTTCTTCAGGTGAGCTAGGTACTCACTACTTTAAGAACTAGGCAATACAATTATTATTTACAGAAAAAATACCTATAGCTTTTTGCATTTGAAGCTTTAGAAGTCACTATTAAGTCACTAAGGCAAACAGTAAGTCAACTTATACATGAAAGACTTAATTTACTGGAGTAAAAGGAGTGTGCTTTTTTGCTTTAGCAAATATGAAATTGACCTGAGTAGCTGTAACACTAATGAATGTTGAACTTTTAAGGAGGCAAAAATTATGCGTAAGGAAAACTTGAGTTGTTTAAGGAGGCAGACTAGATGTATTGAAAGTGTGTGCTTTGTAGTGTTTTTCAAATCATAACTTTTTTTTTGGTGTGGTATCCTAGAAGCTTTAATTGCTGCAAGTGCAATGTTGTCTTTGCTGCTTAAGGTTGTAAGGAATATTTTAAAATGCTGTGTATATTGAAAGCTCTATTCTACTGTTTACATTTGTAACAAATTGACTATCTTATAATCTTCAAAATGAATAATTTAAAATATATTGCTAATCATTTGTATCAGCTTCATATAGCTGTAGAAACTCTATGCAATAGTCTTCAGAAAAAAGAGGGAAAACTTCACAGGTTAATAGCAAACCTAGTATGATGTTGAGGTGGCTTTTGTTTTGATGCTGTTTATCAAATCTTATTTGCTAAATGCTTGTATGGTATGCAGGCCTGGTGATCATGCTTGATTATGGAGTTAGTTAACTTTTTAATGGTTAAATGAAAGGAAGATGAGGTGCAACAAGATTGATTTAGGCATTAGATCAGGCATGTTTCAATAGGCACTTGACAGCTATGTTAAAATAGCTCCAATTTCTGTGTCTTTTCTCTTTTGTTGTGCTCTCATAGTTGTTATTGAAATTATGTTTAGGATGCTTTGGGAAAATAGTAGTTTTGGAGAAGTTGGTTGATTTTTTGAGTGCTTTTTGTCCAGTTGATTCCTGAAGTGGATCACTAAGCATCACACTGAATTAAGATGCTGTAATGTAGAAGAGATAGATATTAGGGAAGGCAGGTTAAGAGAGAAGAATCTGTTTCAGCTCCTGCTGGGAAATGTTAGTGATTTTTATCCTGTAAATTAAGCTTGCACTGCCAGAAATATTCTTTAGTATGATAGCTGAAATGGCTGAAAAAGACAGTTATATTATCTTGACAGCAGTATAAATTCATCCTAGTTTAACTATTAACTTCTATAGCTTGATTTAGTTTGTTCCTCCATTGTTTGTTTTGAGATGACTTCTTTAGTTGTTTTAATTTGTAGGTATCTTGCGAGTGCCTTACTAGCCTAGTACTAGATGCATTTTAACCTAATTACTTTAGGACTTTGGTCTTAAGGATTTACAGCTGAAGTATAGCCAACTGTTTTTGTTTTAGGCTGGATGGACAGTGGCCTGAAGGACTGCTGTCTGTCAACAATACTCTGCAGTTCAACAGCCCATTGACTTACAACTACACTGGGACTTATATCTGTAAGGTGACTAATTCCCTTGGTCAGAGAAGTGATCAGAAGACTATCTACATATTAGGTAAGTCTTACTTCTTAGTGACAACAATGTGTTGACTCTAATGTTTACAGTAGTTGAAATAGCAAATTTCAGGCATCAAGTGGCGCTTCAATGAGTCTTTTCATTGTATGTAAGGTAAGTATGGAGTTCAGAGCTACAGTGAAACTTGGGATCAAACTGGCTCTTCATAATAGCAACAAAGAGTAGAAGTTCTTATGGTTGAGTTTGTTGCCGTAGCGCTTCTGAGATTTACTTCTTGGTAGATTAACTTGGTTTATCCAATTCTACCTTGTGTTTTAGTAAGACTTTGACTACAATAAATAATACCTGGTCCATAATGAATGTTAATGGGGAACAGCTGTCTTCAGAGAAGTCAACGATGCAGAACTCCTATTTGCTCATCTGCGTGGCATAATACAGGAAACTGGTTCTTCTTTTTAGCACTTGTTCTGTTGTGAAAAATACTTGTATCTATATAACAAAGTACTGTGACACCTTCTCTAAGAGAACACCATGATTTAACAAGGTATACTTGAATAGCATTGTGCAAATGTGAAAAAGCTCTCCCAAACTCAACAATGGATTGCTTAAATTAATATATTGGCACTTATTGATCTAATTTTAGTTATCACTTAAGGAAATAAGACAGGAAAAACTAGTATTTCACTTCTTGTGTGTTATTGCTTTTCAGTAAGTTCCCAACAGTAGTTATTTCACAATATGAAGGAGCATTAAAATGTATTCTGACAGGTTACAAGCTACATGAAAAACACAAATGATTTCCTAAAAACATAAAACTAAACACAAGCGCTCAAAAGGTTGAGATGAGAATGAATGCTTCAGATAAAAACTGAAGATAGAGGATGCCTAAAGCATTGTCTGTAAATTCATTTTGGGTAGCTAGCAGCATTTTTAGAAGGGACAGTGGTTCAGTTAATCATACTGACGTAATCATGCTGCATGTCAGTCTTTGCTCCATGGAGGACCTTTGTGGAGAGCTGTTCTGAATAACTATTTAATGAGCTAGTTATCTAGAAATGTCTAAGTACTTGCAGACAATGGAATTACTTAAAAACAGAACATTACATTTTACATGAAACTTGATTTGTGGCTATGCAACAGTCTGAAGATATTGTTCTATTGTGAGAATTAAATCATGAAAATTAGCAGAATGTCATTTGATTTGATGAAATATGCTCCTGGAATGTAGCATTCCAATACTCTGTCATGAGCCCTGTACTAACGTTACAGAGGGGAGAACTTGACCCAACTTTGTAACTGTTGGAGTTGTCAATTCTGTGAATGCTGTATGCTGTCAGTAGAACTTCTTTCATATGACTGTCACACATAAAAATATAAGACTGCAAATATAATTTGAATGATAATTTACTAACATACTAGAAGGGCAAGCATGAATTCTCAGACTAAATTTTTCAAAAAGTGAAATAGAAATGCATGCCAGTTGAGCTGTAGTTTAAGGTTTCTTCTAGCCCATGATAAACAACTAGAACTAGTTTACAGCAAAGATAGTTAAGCTGCATTAATGTTTTTTGTGTGCCTCTTTCTCAGTTTTACTTAGTACTACTTATTTTTGCAACAACTACAGTGCAAATCTTAAATTTTTTTTTGTAAGGTTCAATTTTGGAACTTCCTATCTAGAGATCATTCAAGACTATGGTTCTACAAGTTATGTGAACCAGTAATAAGAAACACTTTAGTTGAGGCAGATTAAATCTTGCTTCTTAAAAGTGTAATCATTATAATCTTGGGGCATACAGCATCGTGAACATCCAAGAAAATATGGGTGACTTTTCAGGCAAACGAGAATCTGGTGCTACACCAGTGCAAATAGTGTTCAAATAATAATAATAATAATAATAATATGCATTAACTAACACTAAGTATCTGACATATCTGTAATCTCTTCTAAACTACTTAGAACAACAAAACAATTAAAAGCAATGTATATCAACTTATGGAAGAGTTGATTAAGGAAGCAGTGAGGTGTTCATGAAGTCCAAAAATTGTATTGCTTTCAGAAATTAATATCAATCTCATTTATCCGTGACTATGAGAGTAACTTTTGTGTGTTAACTGGATTATTAAACAACTGAAATGTGCTTGAAATTATGTAGGGTGAGTAGATTGTGTGAAATGTCTCTTATATAATAACCATCCTGGCTACTTTGTGGAGGGGACAATCCAATCAGCATAAAATGAGACTGAACTAGTAAAATTTAAAGCAAGCTGCTTACTCCCTTTTTACACTTAATTCTGTACTTAACTGATCAGATACTATCTAGTCATGATGAGTGACACCTGTGAACGTCCTTCTTTCATCATGCAAGCATGTAGAGTCATCATTTAATTTTTTATTTCTCTGTCTTAATCATCTTCCACTGTATAAGACCTGGCTAGAATGTTACTTGAAGCTCGGAAGCTAGTGGACGAAGCTATGTTATCATATTATCTTTCAGACTTTAATAATGAGCCTGTCAAGGGTGACTTGTGGAGTTAATGTTTCTGAGCAGTTATGGTACTGGTAATTGTAAAGCTTTAGAAAGTAGATAGCTATTGATTTGAAATGTGTCATAGGTTTGGAATGTAACCTGAGCAAAAATATTTTTTGCCTTAATATGCATTAGTATTTCAAAATTGTTTACAGACATTGTTTTACTTTGACCTTTAGCTTAATACCTTTGAATTCAGGAGACTATAAGAGTAGCTGACAAGGATTAGATGGTAGATACATTAGATTGTAGCTACAGTGAATGATCTGTCTTGATGAATTGAGCAACATTAAAATGGTATCTAAAGCCAGGGGGGTTTCTTTAATTTACTGGTACAGATATCTTAGCTTCACACTTAGCTTCACAGTATTTTGTTCGGTGATGTGAAGATACTTTCCTTTGCTGAACAACTATACAGAGGAAGTCATGCTGCTTATGGGATTTGGAGGTGATCAAGTGTTGTTTTCTGATCTAGCACTGCAACAACAAGACTTCCAAAACTAGTTTACAGCTTAATGTGTCAACCACCTAATCTGGTAAAAATATACTGACTTCCAGTACTTCATGTAAAACAGGATTCTTATTTTCCTGGCAATTTGTTCCTTTGCTTACATTGTTGTGGCCTAATTCCTCTGCATTTAAGAAGTGACTGGTGAGATTTATGTTCAGATAAGCTCATACTCGCTTCTTTTATCACCTCCTTCAAATCTTCTCTCTAACAATTTCAAATCTTCTTTGAAGGAGGTAGGTTTTTCTTTGAAGGAGGTAGGATGTTCTTCATTTCATGGTAACAGCTGTGTGGCCATCCAGAGCATGGCTTGTCTTTCATGCTACTGTCGCCACTGCTGAAAGTACCACCCACCATCTGCCTTGCTGTATTCTTATCCACTGCTTGATCTTCATAAACATTCAACAAGCATCAGTGTCAGTGGGTGCCGTTTTTCTTGGAGGAATGGAGGAATTCAGTTATACCCCTTTGCTTTGTATGCATCAGATGCCATTTTGTCAGGCAGCCTCTCTGCTACCACCTGCTGCAAAGCAACAGAACATTGATGGGGAGGTTCAACTTTTACTTCTCTACCACCATCATCCTCCTCTGATGCTGTTGACTAATATAATAAAATAGGAGTCATTAATTTCAGAGCAACCCTTGTGCTAAATACCAAATCATTTACTGTGGAAAAATATTGTGCTCAGCAGTTTGTTTTTGCAGTGATATACTGGTTGGTACTAAAACAGAACTTAACTTTTTAAAGGTAATGATCTGTCTGATTCTAAGGATTGCCTCTTTATTTACATGTCTTTAGGGCTTAGCTTCTGTTGACTTCGAAGATAAATCTAGAGCATTTGAACAGTGATATGCTGCAAGGGGATTGAGAAGGGCAGATACAGTGTTTGGGGTGTTAGGTGAATCATGTAGTTTACTGAACTTCATTATATAAATTAACCTAAGGTACGGTTCATGTATTGGAAGAGGTGGGAAAACCTTATCAAGAACCTAATTTAAGGGAAGAATAACAATTGCATGACTAAAATAAAGCAAAACCACTGCTGAAAGATGTTACCAATATTCTCAGGGAATATTTGGAGACAAGTAATGGAGAAGAAACAAACTATAACTGTATCAGGACTATGGTGCATTTTGAGAAGGTACTAGAGCTATGCTTGATATAGAGTTCATCTCACCTTTCATAGTAGAAATGAACTTAAAGCAAAAGTTACAGTATGCTGTTTTATGCATCAAGGGATTGAGTTTTTTCAGCAGTGGTAGAATACAGGCTTTTGACTTTTCCTGGTTTAATCAATTACAGTTCCTATTTTAATGAGAATAATAGCCATGTATAACAATAATACTTTTGTGCTTCTTCACTTGTCCTTACTACTTCAGCATGTACATCTTAAGGATTTGAACAAGGGCTCCCAACACAGTAAGAGAAAGAGATAATGTAAAATGTTGTCATAAGTTAGGAGGTTAAGAAAAATATCAGTAGGAAATAGTTTTTAAATTACCATATAAATAATTAATGTGGAGTTAAACAGTGTGTTGTGGAAAAGCATAAGAAATGCAAAGAAACAAGTTGCTGATGAGGTGAAATATTACTGTTGTGAAGACAACTAGTTGGCATGTAGCATCTAGTTTTTCTAGGTTGTGGTGGTCAAATATGCTGGGGGGAATTGTCCGAAGCAAGCTCTCTAAATTGAGATGTTATACAAATGAAGTTTTATGGAGTGGAGGTAAGGAACTTCAGTATTCTTGTTTTCAATGTTGTTTTGTATTTGTGAAATATGCTTGGAGTGGAAAGTATGGAAAAATTATCTGTATGTTTTCAGAAAGCTCTGTGTAAAATGAGAAGGTAACACTTCATGTTCCTGATCGTAATTAATCTTACAAATAAGGAGAGCTGTCATTCTCTTACGGTAGAAGATAGTGACACAGATGGACAATAAAAGTTGCTATGATTATACGCTCCAGGAATGCATATAAACAGATGCTGAATTGCCTCTACAACT